CCAGCCTCGCACACGTCCCCCCACCCACCGTTCGCCCCCAGCTTTACTGCACCTGCATGAGACTACATCGATCGATCCTCTGGTCCTTCGACACATCGCCGCGTTGCAAAGCGGCTGACGCTTTGGCCGACCTCTTATCGCGGTACCGCTTCACATGCCTCGGCTCGTCCTACGTGCGCGCGCACCACGGGCACACACCACACCAGCTGACTAAGCTCAGGTCAGCTCAGCTCCGCTCGCCACTGCTCTATCGCGCTCTGGACTCACCTGGATGCGACAGGGATGGCGGACACCAGCACCTTCGCGGCGCCCCCGCCCCCGTGGATGCCATCCCCTGCGATGTTCTTCACGCCGCCCGCGCTGCCGGGCTACTACCAGGGCTCCGCGGCGGGCACCGTGCCGGAGGCGCCTCGGGAGGGCGGGGGCTCCATCGGCACGTTCTTTGGCGTGCTCGCGGCCGTCCTGGTGCTCACCGCGGTGTCCTGCGTCTTTGGCCGCGTGTGCCGGGCGCAGGCCGAGGGACCCGACGAGGTGTACGACTGCGCGAGGCTGTCGCGGCGATGGCGCTGGTGGAGCGCGTCTCCCCGGATCGTCAGGCGCGGGGCCAAGCCGCCGCCCGTGGAGGAGGTGCCTGCCGCGCTGCCGCTGCCGGAGCCATGAAGTGTTCGTTAAGCTGCCGGTCATCCGGTTCCTGCTGGCGTGTTCTTGTCCAGTGCAGGCTCCGGTTAGCACAGTAAGTAGTAGTGATCCGTCTTAGACTCTTAGTGTATCTACGCCAGTACGGAGTACATCGTTGTGCTCTCCGTGCCATTGGAGGATTTTCTTGATAGATTTATGTCCTCGTTCCTTTGTACTCGGGTTACTCAAAATAATAATGCACTTCTGATTACCAACATTCCCTTGTTAAACTCATCGCCGGCGGTTCTTTTGCGCTTCATGTGTTGCAACGTTTGCGATTCACGAGTGTCCGAGCCAATCGCGCCGGAATGTTAGGTGTGCATGGATTGGTGGTGACAATAAAGAATGTACTCCACCCACCACATGGATATGGAAGGATTGTCCATGAACTACCACTGCCACTACCACCAACCAAGCCAAATATTACCAATACCATATCTTGCCGATCTTCCATCTTGCTGAAAGCCAATTAGAGCAATCATCACGGCCTTCACTAGTGTCCCTTTCACGGTAGCTTCTTCACGTAGGAAAACCTCCGAAATGGAATGTGTGACTGTCAGTACTCTAGTCTAGCTAAAATAAGCAAAAGGATGGTTGGAGGTGACTTGGCAGCAACTAAAGCAGGGACGCACCCAGGCGAGAGTGACATTTCTATTTCTTTCGGAATCACTAAAAAACTGACGTTGGATTTTTAAGCACTCTCGAGCGAACACGCGAGCTGCCGTCGGACCTATTGCACTGATCTTGAAGCGGGCGCCGGATGACACGTCATCAAAGATAGTTGTTCGATGTATATGTTGTTCCTTGCCAATGATTTTTCCCTCCTCATGTTGTCCTCCGCGGGAGACTACGACATATCCTCTTCCCTGCTCCCACTTCCTCTATTCCTAGGTGGTGCTGCGGAGACATACCAGACTCCGGCGAGTCACCCGTGGGATGAGGAGGCATCGGTGTAGAGGATCTGTGACATGGGGGTATTTGACGCGCGGAACGCATTGTGGCGGAGGAATAGAGGAGCCATGGCGGGGGGATTTGTGACTAGAGCTTGAGCGTGAGCCCACAACGGCGGCAGAAGAGAGGAGACGTGGCAGGGGGAGCCACGACTAGGGCTCGAGCGCGAGCCCACGGCGGCGGCAGAGGAGAGGAGCTGCATATGGAGGGCGCAACAGCTCTATTGAGTATGTAATATTTGCTTGTATATTTCTTGTACATCAAGGCGGCTTCCTGAGGACGTGGTCATACCTTGTACTTATATACACGTGCATATGTACCCGACGAATATATTCAGAGTTGCACCGAACTACATGGTATCAGTTTCCTTCTCCCGATCCTAACCCTAGTCTTCCTCTCCCTGTCGCCGCCGTCATGCCTTCTGGCAGCCGCTGCATCCCTACTTCCCACCCGATCGCCCGAGCTCTCCTCCTCTCCCGACCGCTCTAAACCCGACCACCCCAGCCGCCCCGATCGCCCGCCACATCCGGCCCTCCCGATCCCAGGGCATGCGAACGTAGCTGTGAGGTGGGCCCTCGCACCGACCAACGCACGAAGGCCTGACATGCGGCCCTGTTGAGCCCTGGAATGTTGATGCAGATGCACAGCCCACCGTCCTTGCCTGGATGGGGGGCCACGCCAGGTGGTGGGTAACGGTCGCCACGTATGGCCCTTGCCTCTTGAAGCTCCTGGGTCGCCTTGACGATGAACTCTTGAGCGCCGGGCGCTCCTCGCCGAGCGCCCTCCTGAGTGAAACGTGTGGCGAAGCACGCCTCCACATGGTGTCCGAGCGCCTCCCTCGTGATGTTGGCTAGGTACGAGGCCCTCCAGAAGAGAGCCCCCGAGTCTTGCCCGAGGAGGCGCCGGGCACGCCTTCCTATGCGAGGGAGGGAGGCGCCCCAGCTGTGGGCGCAGGTCCTGAGGTCGTGCCGCTGGAGACGCTGCCCTCCTGAGGCTCCGGGAGGAGTAGCTACTTCTTCTTATTGGGGATGGCCTCAGGAGGGTACATGATGCCTTCGTTGTCAGGGTCTTCGATCGTGGCAGCTTGGAAGGCGTGCTCAAGGGAGCACACCGCATCTCTTTCTTCGCAGGGGACCGTGATGATGCCTCCGCTTCCTGTCATCTTGAGGACGTTGCATGGCAGACGGATGTGGGCGACGTCAAAGTCGATGAGCTCAGTGCGATAGTTGTTGCGCTGGCCGAAGGTGACAGGGAGGCGGACCTGCCCTATCGGGGTGGTGGAGCCGTCGGTCACTCATGAGAAAGGCTTGGTAGGCTGTAGCTGGTCGTATGGCACTTGGAGGCTGTCGAATGTCTCGACGGACAGGACATTGAGCCCTGCGCCGCCGTCGATATGGGTCTTGGTGACTTGGAAGTTGCTGATGACATGTGAACAAAGCATCGGAAGGACGCGGACAGTCTCCGCACACTTGAGCTGGTCCACCAAGCTGAAGGTGATGGCGCACTTGGACCACCTGAGTGGGCGCGTGGCCTCGAGCCTGGGGAGAGCCGCGTTCACCTCACGAGCAAACTGCTTGAAGATACGCTTGGAGGCTGGGGCCTGAGCACCGCCCAGGATGCAGGCAATAACACGCGGCTCCTGGAAGCCCCCAACCCCCTCGTCCTGGTGGTGGTCGTCGTTCCTCCTTGGTGGTGGCGGCAGCGGAGAGAGGCCAGCATTGCCCTGAGGACGGTTCTCATGAGGCTGGTCCCTCCAGGCGCCCTCACGAGGCTGGTCTTGCCAGTGGTCCTCGCGAGGCCGGTCGCGCCACTCCTGATGGGGTCGCGGTCGTCCCAGGGTCCCCCGCTTCGTCCTCCTCCTCGGCCGTAGCCCCGGTCGTTGCGCTCGGGGCGCCGACCGAAGCGTCCATCTCGAATGGCTCTGAGCTCTTGGCAGTCGTTAGTGTTGTGGCTGTGTATGTTGTGGAAGGCGCAGAATGGACGACTGCTTTTAGACGACTCGGGGTGGTCCCGACCGTGCTTTGAATCCGGCCCCGTTGCGAGCACGGCTACTCCATTGCGCTTCACGTCCTTGGCCTTGGCTTTCTTTTCTTCGGGGTCAGCAGCAGGGAGCTCGAGGAGGGAGAGGCGCCCCTCCTCAGCTCTTGCGCACTTGGTCGCCATGTTGAACATCTCCAGGGCCGAGCATAGCTCTTCGTGGATCGCGAGCTTATCCTTCATCTTGACGTCGCAGACGCTATCGAAGAACACAGAGATGATGGCCTCGTCTGTCAGCTTGGGGATCTTGAGGAGGACGTTGTTGAAGCGCTGGATATACTTTTCAGGGATTCCCCTAGTTGCTGCTTGATGCACCGCAAGTCGCCTGTGGCTGGCAGGTGGTCGCGAGTGCCCTGGAAGTTGGCGACGAAACGCTCGTGCATCTCTCTCCAGGAGGAGATCGATCCCGCGGGCAGGTTCAGGAGCCACGAGCGAGCACCATCCTTGAGAGCCATGGGAAACCAGTTCACCATGACTTTTTCATCGCTGTTAGCCGCCTCGATGCTCAGCTCGTAGAGCTGTAGGAACTCCGCAGGGTCGGGGGTGCCATCGTAGCACGGAGGCAGATCCAGCTTGAACTTGCCTGGCCAAACGACGGTCCGCAGCTCGCGAGTGAAGGCTCGGCAGCATGCTGTGGTCACCGGAGCCCTTCATGGTGGTGGAATCTGGTCTTGGCACCCACGCACAGCCACGACAGGCGGCACACGGTCTTGACGTGGTGGCGCGGGGGGTGCGGGAGCGTTTTCTTGTGGTCGAGGGACCTCCTGGCAGCTTCTTTCTTCATGCGCGGGCACACGGCATGGCGGATCATGCCGCGGGACCACGCGTCTTGGGTTGAGGACA